GCTAAACACCACAGGAAAACAAACAGGGAAAAACCCACAGCCCAACCACACAGGCAAAGGTTGAATGTAAACCTAGACTTCACCCTTATGAGGTTGTAATGATATTTCCCAATAATCCTGCCAGGTGGTGTCACAGAAAGCCAAGCAGGGAGTTGAAGTTTCATCCCTGCTGCCAGTAATGAGACTCCCCCCACCTCAGTTGTCAGTGAAGACAACAGGGAGAGCCTGGACTTCCACTCCCATCATCAATAAAGAGGAGTCTCCTCTTAGGTGTCAATTTGGCAACATGGACATCTATCTCCACCTGGCAGAAATAAGGCAGTATTCCCCCCGTCCCCCCAAAGCAGTATCAGAGAAAGGCAGCTAAAACAGAAGGTTTAAATAAGATCCTGAGTTGTATAACCTAATACTAAGATGCCAAGGTTTTGCTAGAAAATCACTCATCATACCAAGAATGAGAAAGATCTCAAACTGAATGAAGAACAGAAATAGATGCAAACATGGAGATGATGGAAATGTTAACATTATCTGGCAATAATTTTAAAGCAACTATGATAAAAAGGTTTCAATGAGCAATTAATATTTCACTTGAAACTAAAAAAAAAAAAAAAAAAAAGACTTAGCAAAGAAATGGAAAGTCTCAGCAAAGTAATACAAGCTGTAAAGAAGAGCTAAATAGAAATTTAGAACTGAAAAGTATAATAACCAAAATAAAAAGCTCGGTGGATGGACTCAAAATCAGAATGGAGAGGGTAGATGAAAGACTCAGTGAAATGGAAGATATAACAATAGAAGTTACCTAATCTGAACAATGGAGAAAAAATATTTTTGAAAAACAAACAGGGACTAAGGGAATTGGGAACTAAAAAAAGACCTAATATTCATGTTAAAAGCAGCCAGACAAAAACAACGTTTACTTATCGGAGAAAACAATTTGAATGACAGCGGATTTCTCATCAGAAACCATGGAGGCTAGAAAGAAGTGGCATACTGTTTTTTCAAGTGCTGAAAGAAAAAAAACCCTGTCAGAATCCTTTACCCCTCAAAAATATTCTTCATGGATGAGGGGAAAGCTACACGTTCTCAGATGAAAGAAAATGAAAAGAGCTTGTTGCCCGCAGAACTTCTCTAAAAGAATGGCTAAAGGATGCTCTCTAAACAGAAAGTGATGAAAGAATGACGCCTGGAACATTAGGAAGAAATAGCACTGTAAGCAAGAACACGGGTAAACACAATAGACTTTCCTTTTCCTTTTGAGTGTTCTAAATAATGTTGAGTGGTTGCAACAAAAATGATAACACTGATGTAGTCCTAAAAGTATGAGAAAATATTTAATACGATTATATTATAAATGGGAGAGAGCAAAAGGATAAAAAGAAGCTAAGGTTTCTATACTTTGCTTGAATAGGTAAAATGACAACACTGGTAAATTGTGGTAGGTTATGAATACAAAATGTAATACCTACAGCAACTGCTAGCAGAACAAAGATATATACATACTCAAAAACACTACAGAGAGCACGGCCGGTGTGGCTCAGTGGTTGAGCATCAACCTAGGATCCAGGGGATCGGGGTTTGATTCCCGGTCAGGGCACATGCGGGTTGCAGGCTCAATCCCCAGTCAGGGGCGTGCGGGAGGCAGCCAATCAATGATTCTCACATCATTGATGATGTTTCTCTCTCTCTCTCCCTCTCCCTTCCTCTCTCTGAAATCAATAAAGATATATGTAAAAATAAAAAAGATTCCTTTCCTATTAAAAAACAACAACACTATAGAGAAATCCAAATGGAATTCTAGAAAATGTTGAAATGACCCACAAGAAGACGGGAAAAAGAAAACAAAAAGCAGAGAGAACAACCACAAAGCAAAAAATAAAAGGGCATAATTAAGACCTAACATATCAACAACTACACTAAATGTAACTTTGTTTCAGTTACATATTTACACATACTATATGTTGATATTTTATCTAAATGATTTCTTATTGTGCACTGTGGTGAAAAAGTATTTTTCAATTCACTGCCCTAAGGAATCACTGAGGGCAGAACTTTCCTGGTCACTCCGATCATACAAATGAAATTCAGGTTCTGATCCCCTTAGGAAAACAAAGACTTGGTCTAGCTGCACAACTGCAGGATGTCCCTTCTGGGCTTGACAAGCTCTGGCAACAACTGGCACTGGGATTCTGGCAGTTTCTTCCATGGCTGGACGTTAAGAGTGTATTTAACTCGGTCGAGCTCCCATCCAGTAGGAAATCACAAAGACCCCAGGAGCACCACAATGAGGGTTGTGGCTCAGAGACAACCTGGACGCCACCCACTTCTTATTTCTGAGTAGCAGGAATGGTGGCCACTATGAAAAACCCATGAGTTGTTTGTAGTTAGTTGGTATGTGCAAGAGATGCCCAAATTGTTCTTTAAAATTGTCACTACAAGCCTTGTCAAAAGGTTTCTTTGAAATGCTCAACCTAAAATATACTAGCAACTTTTTCATGGTAAGAGAAATCTAAGCCCTTATGGTCCTGTCCATTCACTTTGGGAACTGTCAAATATTTTTAGAATGAAATTTCTTCAAATTTTTATACATAAGAGGCGAGTGAAGTTTCACCTAACTTCTATATCATTAGTTCCCCAAATGACATTGCTAATGAGTGAGACTGAAGATCTGTGGTTCTTCTTGGTATTTACCCTGGAACTTTCCTGGCAATGACTGTCCCCATCTACAGAATATACTATACTTTAAATCCTTGTCTCCAACTGTTACAATGATTAGAGAATTTAATAAAAAAGGTGATCTTCTCACTAGTCCCAATCTCTCTCTCTCTGAGGCCGCTGGCTTCATACATGGACCCCTTAATTTCAGTAGACAACTTACTCCCCCACTTTGTTCAGAAGTATGAACCCCTTCAGTCTCCTCTCATTCTAAAAATGTGTCTACATGTTCATATGTACTCTCCACATCCCCCTCTTTCTTAGCATAGAGTTCTGTTAGGACACTTGGTTTTAAGTCACAGAAACCCAACTCAAACTGGCTTAAGCAGAGAGGCGACTCTTCTGTGAAGGTCCTGAGTGCCATGGGGACATCTGCATGTGGCTAGATGCCTGAGCACAGCTGGAGCCAGGGACTGTTCGGTTGGGTGCGCTCCTGTCTTTACAGCCCTTTGGGATGCGTCAACATTCCCCTGCACTGCTGGCCAGTTCTGCCCGCTCCTCCGCCCTCCTGGGAGAAGAGGTGACCAACAGTGCCCAGGTTTACATCTCCGTTCCCTAAGGCGGCCAGGTGGAGGTGGAAGGGCTCCGTTCTGATTCCCGACTCCCACTGATGCAGTCCAATTAGCCAGCTTGGATCAAGACCCACTCCTGGGCCAACGACCTCTAACCACAGACAAGGGTCACAGTGCACTGCCATGGCCGTTCCTATGGTAGCCATCTGAACGGAATTGGGGGCAATGGAAGGTGGGAGGTGGGCAGCTGCCAACAAAGAATCAGCAAAAAGTCCCAGAAAAAGAGGGGATGTTGAGACAGACAAAACAGTGTGTCTGTCCCACAGCAATCCTTCTCTCCAGGCAAATTGTAAGATCTTGAGTTTTTTCCATTCCACATCTTCTCATCTCCTTCAGGATCTTTACCCCCTTTGTTTTCTTTTATATTTTAAATCTTTCCTCTGCCTGAGTGCCTTTTCCCTAGGCTCAGGTTTTCTCCAGTCTTTCCTATGCTAAAGGAATGTTCCATAACCCTTCTTCCAGTTCCTGCCCACTCTATGTANATTTTCTCCAGTCTTTCCTAAAGGAATGTTCCATAACCCTTCTTCCAGTTCCTGCCCACTCTATGTACCATTCTCCTCGACCAAGTAAGTTTCATCTGCTCCTTACATTTTACCCCAACCTGGTCTTTTCCTTCTTGAATCCTGCTGCCTCCATTTCCCCAAGTTCTTACTTGGTCTCTGAAAGGCTGAAGGTAGAGCGAGGAAAACATGAGGCTGATGGGCCATTGTGATGCAGCCCTTCCACTGGGTGTGATTCGCACACGCACCAGGGCCGACTTCCTCACAGCACATCTTAGGCAACACATAGCCCAGTTCCAAGGGACACCCTGTATTGTGAGGCATGGCACTGACCAGTCCCTGACCTTTCTAGCTTCCTGGTTCCAGAGAGTCTGTGGCCACAGTACCACCTGGACCCCACCCAGGCTGCTGATAGTCATCTTGTTTACCAAGCCTCTCTGGGTGAAAGGGCCTTCTCATGCACAGGCTGGGAGGGGGCCCTCTCACGCCACTTGTCATTTGCTTCCTCAGGTGGGGAAAACCTCCCTATCAGTTCTGTGCCCTCTGGAATGAAGGGGACAGGTAACAACCACAGGCTCGACCAGAACTGCTGCTTCACGGGTACCCACACCTAAAGGCTGAAGCCTCGGCACTAGCTGAGCCAACCTACCTTCTGGTGTTCTCAGCTACGTGGGTGTTTGTAGGGACACCTTATCTAATGAAGCCCTTTGCTTCTTTAGTTTAAAAAAAAAATTATTATGGAAAATTTTAAACACATACAAAGTAGAAAGGCCAATTTAATGTGTCTTCCATCCCATTTCAACAGTTATCCACTTAAGAGCACTGCTGTGCCATCTGTACCACTAAAACAACACCCTCCCGTTATTCCAAAACAAATCTCATATATCTGTAAAAATTTCAGTATGTATCTCTAAACAACAATGCTCCTTTTATGGTTTGTTTTCGGTTTTGCTCAGGTTTATACTTTACATGCAATAAAATTGACCTTTTAAGGTACAGGTCTGAGGTTTTAGAGGCTCACTTAGTCACATAACCACCGCAATCAGGACATAGAACAGTTCTGTCACCACTCAAAGCTCTCCCTTTCCCACCTCCAAGTAACTCAACAGTGAACGGCACTTGATGTTACACTTCGGTCCTTGAATTTGGCTAAGAAAATAATTCTGAGCCAAGGAACTCAAATACAAGCGAAAGTTCATTTAGGAGGAAAAACAAGATGGCGCGTAGGTCACAGCTGCACCCGCCGCCTCCCGCAACCACATCAAAATTACAACTAAAATACAGAACCACCGTCACTCAGAGCCTGAGATCTGGCTGCACAGAACCCCCACAAGCAGGGAGCTGAAGAAGCACCGAGACCGTAGGAGGGGCGGAGACGCGGGCGGATCGGGGCTGAATCGCAGAGACCCGGCCTCGGGCCCACACCGGGTGCCGGGGTTGAGACCCGGGAGGGAATCTCAGTAGCGGAGGTTTCCCGGAGGAGGGAGGGAGGGGTCCCAGCCCCGCAGCAGGCCCCCAGCCCAGGGCTCCAGGGCCCGGAAAAGACGTCCCCACAACTCTGGGCTGTGAAACCAGCGGGGACTGTCCCTGAGGGTCGCGGAGGCTGCGGGAGCCCCAGCAGCTCCTCTAAAGGGCCCGGCACGGACTCACTCGGACGCTCCCTCTGAGCCCAGCGCCGGGCAGCAGCCTGAAAGGCCCCGGGACACTCGGGGAGGAACTAACCTGCCAGAGATCCGGGTGAGAGGCGGAGGGGCAGCTTCCTCCCAGGCAGAAGGGCTGGCGGAGGCCATTGCGACTTAGGTGAGTCGTCCCCGCACACAGCCAGTGGGCAGGCGCCATGTTTGAATCACCAGCACCTGGCTCACACCTGTGGCCCCGCCCCGTGATTCCCGGAGGCCCC